CGAGTTGAAGGTACCCCTCTCTTAACTAAAAATCATTTTATTTTCAAATTAACTACCGTCAACTACCTCATCTCTCAGCATTAAATACTTTAATTTCAACTTAACTTCCGTCAACTACCTCCCTTTTAACTTTAAATTTGATTTTATTGTTTATCTTTTGCTCAACTTATTGCTCAAAATGATCTTCTCAGTGCAAAACAGCAGCCTTTTGTACCCTGTAGAAAATTCGCCTGATCTTGTACAAATTCAAGTACGAGAAACAGTCTCTGGAGTATTTTTGGCCCAAATGGACATCCCAATCCAAGTCTGGCACATGGTGGAGCTGATGCGAAGAGATTATGATCAACGAACATGATATGACGGAAGTACCCATGACAGAGAACCAACTTGGAGAAAAGCAAACGATGGAGAAAGTGGCTGAGCATGTGGGAATGAACTACCCCGAAACTCCTGACTCTAAATATGTAGCTCAACCATCGACAATTTTCTCCTTCCATGGCCCAATTACCGTCGAAGAGGATGAGGGGTTCTCTGAGCTGAGAACTCCAGTCAGCGAACCACCAGGACAACCACCGATGTTGGAGACAAGAACAGCTTTGCGCTTCCTTGAGAACTTGCAAAACTCTTCAGCTGCTCAACAGTTCTTTGATTTGTAAATAATATATTTGTTGTCTTGTGTTTTGTAATTTAATTTTTTTACATCTTGTATTTTAATTTTAAAGAGATAGGGGCAAAGAGATAAAGAAAGAGGTCATAGAAAAAATTGTTAGAAAAAGCTTGCTTAGGCAAATTTTTTAATTAAATTTTTGTTAAAAAACTTTTTAAAAATTGAACCAAGTATGCAATTGGTAGAAAATTTAACCAAGTTTTGTTGTAAAGGTGGCAAAAAAATTAAACCACTTTCGACGTTTTGTAAAAAAAATTCACAATATTTTTTGCACACATGATAAATAAAACAATCACAATTTTTGCCAACATAATGAAAAATTTTACATTAATCTTTGCACCATGCAAACTTTTTTGTAACTATTCTGACACACTTGTTAAAAAATCAAAGAAAAATTCGCAAATTAAGAAAATTTTCTTTAAATATTTTCGCATTTTAAAGAAAATTGTAACTAAATTTCCTTGCACTGCTAAAATTTAAAATTTATGAATATCTTTGTTCTAAATTTGATCATTAAAAATTTCATTTCTTGCTTATATGTTGATCAACAACACCAGAAAGCAATTTATCAAGATAGGGAATAGCACTCAAAGTCATCAATAATGGAAAAATTTTTAGGCTTTTTGTTTACCAAATTTGTTAAAATACATTCTTTGAACAAAGTTTGTTCGTTTTTCGCTTATGCATAAAATTTTTGCTTTTTTTTCTAAAAAACCACAAAAAAACATGCATGTTAAACAAAAACTTTATGAAAAATTTTGCACAATTTTTGAAAGAGTCAAAACCATTTTGGCATCTTCTAAACAAAATTTAAATGAATTTTCGCAAATTTGTTGAAAAAATCTAATCAGTATTTGCAACTTGCGAAAAAACTCTGATTTGATTTTTGCACACGTGCTAAAAATTACATATTGTTTCGTTTATAAACAAATATTCAATTATAGTAGAAAAATTCACTGTTTACAAAACCATACTAGTCAATGAAACAATCAACAATTTTTAACAAATCAGTCTAATACTTTGAGTTTCGAACATTTCGAATTCTTTCCAAAAAAGCTGATCCATGATTCTGACTGGATGCAAGCTTCTGAGCAGAAGTGAAATAAGGTTTTTTGAATTTGTTTCGCAGCAAGCGTTTCTTTGCAACACTGGGTATTTTTTCCGGTATTCTTCATTTCGAGTTGCGTTCGACTGCACGATTCAATTCGTTGTAAACTTCACATCTTGATGAAAAATATTGGAACTAAATCTGTATTTGTATAGAGTATTAATACATTCAAAAATTTGGTAAGTGAAATGATATTTATCTTATCTTTGCAAAATTTGATTCAGCAATGATTAATGAAAACTAAGTGAAATTTGCAATTTTCCATTGGAACGAATGATGAATGGTTAGATACACAGTAGTATTGGGTAACAATGAACGTTTCTTGAAAGTTTTCTCAGGCAGAGATAAATTTAAATTTTGCATTGTAATCCGAATAAAAAGTGGGATATGCTTGACACATAGCAGATGCCATCACCGATTACTTGTTGAAAATGATTTTTATCTACCTTGAATTGCTTATATAAAAATCCAGCACCTACACAATGTCCATATTTGGATCATCACATACTCAGTATTCCATATAAGGTATTACTACCTTATTTGGAAAGTACAAGAGTCAACTTTTTTCCTAATTTCTACATATTTACAAACATCATTATTTTGAAAAATCTACTACTGATCAGTTGGTTTCAAGTCTCAAATCAAAAATGTATTCTCAAAAAGATATCCTTACCAACTAAATTGAAAATGCTAACAACCAAAAAGAATTGGGAGACTTTCTTGGTCCCAAAAATCCTACAACAGAAAAGCTTACTTTGAACCTTGCTTCCAATTGCTAAAGAAAAAAGAGTCGGGCGAATCCCAGCAAGTATATCTCGGTGAAAAAGAAGGAGAAAGAAAATCAGCGATACGTAATGCTGTTATTCAGGAACCTTGGATTCGTTCCTGTAATGGAAACCTATTCTGACAGAGACTCGACCATGGAGTAGTCATGCGGTGTATAACGTAGCAACATACATGAAGAGAAGGGTGTGTGTCACAACCAAGAAAAGTACAGTATGAACAAGCCACCCTACATTCAGATTCGACTCTTCACTGCAAAGGAGAACGAAGTCTTGAAGCAAGTTGCATATGTCAACTATACTTTGAAAGAATTCAAAGAACTCGCCCAAGTCTTGGGAAATTTAATGTTTGTTGAGAACTCTATTGTTCAATACTTTTGTAAAGTGATGTTATTATAGTCATGTAATTCAAATATTCATCTACTTAAATCATATTTCAAAATTTTTTTGGGATGAGCTGGAACATTGGTTGGCACATTGGTTTTTCCAAATAACTTGATTCAAAGCTTCAAAATGATTTGGGAGTTTTTCATATCATCTTACAAGAAAAATCCGATAAACTTTCACTAACAGTTTTGCAATCTCAAAATTTACCAAAATTGCAAGATTTGGATACATAATCACAAATTTCTCACTTTGAGTGAATTTTGCATAATGGAGAACGTAGAGTTTTTCTAAGTCATCGTTCAGTTATCAAAATCTTATAGAATATCGTAGAAAAGGAAATACTTGGAAGCACAATCAAAAAATTCAGTTGGAGAAAAAGGAGTATGATAAACTGGTTGATTTTATCCCTTCTGTTTTTTCTTATGTAGAAACATTCAAAAAAACTTGTATCATTATTGACGAATGCACTGCAGAAAATGAACGTTCAAAAATTGGATGAAATTCCCAGAAACATTAATTCTATCAAGCATGACTTTTTACCAAATGCAAAAAGGAAAGGTTACTATCTTTGTATCTGTATTGTTTTGGATCCAAACATAAACTTGAAAGAAATGGACCAAAAATTTCCTTTTGGGGGTCTAATTGGATACGGAAATTCCTGTATGGATTAATTTGTTGCAAATGAAAAAATCTTCAGACTTCATGTAATTTTATCTCATGCAGCTGGATCTGTTAAGTCTACTACGCATACGGGCCCTGGTTATTGTTATGTTTTACCTAGATTTCCTAGTTCCCGTTTTCTTGGTCACTTGACTGGATATGTGTTCTTCTGTTTATATATTAAAACTTTTGCTTCAACAGTATATGCATTGTTCGATTTTTAGTCATTTTAAGCGAAAATTTCAGCAAAAACAGTTAATATCATGGGTTTGGTTATTTTGGATATTGAGTGTATTGAAAACAAAATATTGAAAGAATTAGTAGTTTATAAAACGTGACAAACTGGGGGATATTGCTTTCTTCCTCCCAAAATGTTCAAAGCTACATCTCAGTCTGCTTGGTGTACGAAGCATCTTCATGAAATCAATTGTAGCACTGCTTATGAAAAATATACTGAGCTTAAAAATTAATTGAAAAAATTAAAAGCTCCAGATTACAACTGGGATGACTATGCATGACCAAAAAAATTCCGAACCTGATTTTCAAAGATGGAGAATATGATTGGAGGTGTAGCAACTACCGATTTCGTCATGCAAAAACTCTTCACTGTGCAGAAAAAAAAGCATTTGCATACGGAACAAGGACTCGATGTTTTTTAAATAAATTGTAAATTATACAAAATCATTTTGTTTTATTGTGTGTTTTTGAAGTTTAAATGTTGATCATTATCAATTTTTTCTTTCCAAATTGAGATGAGTGATGAATGTGACAAGCAATTAAAATTAGGAAATTCGGTTTTTGATGAGGAGAATCATGAACGAAAACCATGAAATTTTTTGGACGCACGTGTAATAGATCTCTTTTAAATTTTATGTGCCAATTTTTTGTCATAGTTTTAAAACTGGCATGTGCAATCGTTCGACTAATGTTATCCACCACATGTGAAGAAACAACAGTTTGGGTAGCAATTTTATCAAGTAGAGTCGGTAGTATTCTTCATGGTGCTTGAGGTGCTTGATTTATATCTTGACCTTCTCGTCCAATTTTCAGTATGTTTCGACTCTCTCGACCAAAATTCGATATGTTTCGACTTTCTTGACACTCTCGACCGACATATTTTAAAAATTTAAAATTTAGTTAGACCCCGCATAGATACGTTCCGTTTTTGTTGACCAAAAATTGATGTTTCGACTTTCTCGACTTTCTCGACCGACATTTTTAAAAACTTTGTTCACTTTGTTTCTCGGCCCCGCATATATATGAACAAAAATTTTTCCCAGTGTAGTAGACTAATATCTTGAATGTGCTCGTCTAACATCTAACATTTGGTCGTTTCTCTTGTTCGGGATTCACTAAGGTCTAAAAATAGGACTAACTCCGTGAGCAAAAAACATACCTGATTATGAGCTGATCCGGTGAGAAGCAGATTGTATGATGCTGATTATGTGACTGAAAGATTTGAGCACTAGTAACACTGATACAAAAGCATGCGGTTCACATTAAAAAGAAAAAACATATATCATTTGACGATTCGATGCTTGGAACCGTAAAGGTTAATTATAGACTGTTGCAATAAACAATAGTTGAAAAAAAATTAATAGTGACTAATATGGTACTGGACTTTTTCATAGATGCTTTCTTGTTTATAATTCGAGATATGAAGTGCAGTTAATATCATGAAAAAAGTTCGTTCAGACTTTCATAACACGGTTAATCATAAACTATTATTGGTTTAGTTCTAAGTTCCCTGACTAACAATGTAATGTCTAAGAGTAATTCAACACTGCTTTTTTAACTCTGTTTTCTTTACAGCAGTGTTGCTCAGAAAGCTTTAGAAGAGCATAAAATCAACGCGAACCGTAAAACGTGCTTCTGTCATCATGGTTTCTTACCAGTTATAAGCTTGCGAAGAAAAACATCAAAAACTAAAAGTCTACAAAGTTTGTAAGGTTTTCCGGATTTAAATTTTCCAAAATTTTTCTCTGACACCTCGAAGTGTGTTTTTTTTCGAATGCTAAAATCGTGAACCAAATTTTTGTGATTATATTTCTGAGCACCTGAAGAATACATATTGATTGGTCCTTGCTAGGCTAATGATATGGTCGAAAAGTATGAGTGCTGCTTCAACCTGTTATCGCATTATGTTTGAAAGCTTTCTATGGTTTTCATAGTCGTCGTGAGAAGGAATTAAAGAAATTTGTCGCTAAATGGCTGTTTCAAAGGAAAAGGTATTTTTTGTTTATAAACACTTGAAAATCTGAAAAAATTTAAATTCAAGATCCAGATAAATATCGAAAATGTTTCAAATTTTTTAAAGCTGTTGTTAGTGGGACTCATTCGTATTTTCTTTTATATTGATACTTATCTAGCTTTTGATACTTTTCAACATGGTTGCCAAGAGTTTATTGCATAAATATCATTACAACTCCAAACTGTGCACTGGAAAGGTGCACTATTTGGTGCCAGCGTGTTCCTGGATTCTAGAGACAAGTTTTTGGACACGTTACAAAATATAAATGGATTCCATTTATAGATTTCTAAAGGGATGCCGCAAAATGTAATCGGCTTATACAAATATAACAAGGATTGTAGTTTGTTTGTTTTACTGAACTGAACCAGTCCTTGTGCGAACAATTAAGAGCTATAGCTAGAATATTTATATAACAACTGAGGAAGTTAAAAGCAAGGATTTAACTATCGTTAGTGGAATCCAATAAAAATCTAAAGCCTTTGCTCATATAAAATCGTGGATGAGCACCCTTAGTGTTTGGAACAAAGTGAAATTTTTAATCAGTCAGAATTATAACAAAAGAAATAGTTTACCACATTTGTTTTCAATTTTTGAGTATTTGAGACCGGAAAAGTGTTTCAATATTTCAGTATTTAAGATCGGAAAAGTGTTCATGTTTTCAGTGTACGAGATCGGAAAAGAATTCATTCTGTCAGTATTTGAGATCGAATAAGCGCTCATACTTTCATTATTTAAACTTGTCTTAAATTGGATTTTTCAGACCCCTTGAAATCCTTTCGTGTACCGGTTCCGACAGTTCACTGTGATCGAGCACCTTTTTTTAAAAAAATATTTTAGCACTGCGGAGTTAAATGAAAAAGGGCAAATGTTTTTGTGGAAACTGTAAACAAGTTGAATCATCAAACAAAACTTGCAAGGACAAGCGCAAAGAATTTGAATTCCGGTAAGTGACCATAAAAATTATCTCAAAACGTTATCGTTGTTTTCAAACAAAAACACACCTGTCTAAATCAAATTTATGACTCCAAAACTTCTAGAAATATCAATTAAAATGTTTTGGAGTTTAACTTCATTTATTCTTTTTGCAATGATCCTGACGATGTTAATAATTGCAAAAAGTTTTAAAGATTACATTTAGCCAATTTTTTTTACAACATTTAACAAAAACATTTGTGTTTCAAGAAAAAAAAGCTTATATAACTATGATTGTTTTCTATGAAAGTTTATCATAGACAAAATACTGTTGAAAAAACGAAAAAACTTATAAAGAGACTATTTTTTGTTTTTCGTTAAATCAAATAGTAAATCGAGGATATACACCGAAAAACGTTTTTTATCACCAATTTTGACATAAGCATCTACGTTTTTGAGCGAAAGGATTTTAGGATCTTTTAGGATTGATTTTGTATTTATTTTTTTGTATTCGATGCGCGTGTGCAAGTCCAGTTTCTCTTTCCTAATATATATTCCCTCTAATTGCAAAAATTTAGTTTGGTTGTTCGATCTATCTATAATTTTCTATCAAACCACTGAGCTAATTACCAGAATCCAGCGTTGCTGACGTTGGCGAAAAAACAATGAAGCTTCTTTATTTTTTCACTAATTCCAGCGGTCAAATGCCGATAAGTTTGTGATAAATAGCTGGTGTTGCATCCACAACAAGACAGCTAACAGAAACTCTTAATTTGAGGTCATGAGAGAAAGCTGAGATCAGCGATGTTCAAAACAATTGCAGTTTCCTTGAGCTGGAAACTACATGAACGTAAGTTAAACTGCGTAGTATGCTCGCAAAACATTGATTGTGTTACCTCTTTCTTGATGCATCAGCATTAGATACCTCTGATCCTTTTTTTTTAAATTAAAGTTAGTATTACCCTCAAGGATTTTCTCAAGATGGCTGCTTCGACTTTCACGGACCACTTTTCAGAGTTCTGGTTTATCATTAGTTGCGATCTAATTATTTCTATAGGTTAATCAAACTGCTCTTGGCTAGATTAACAGTGCTTTGGATAACACTTCGCTTGTAATGAATTGGGGCGCAGCTCCATTGTTTTGATTTAGTCTCGCTGTATGTTGATTTTTGATACCAAATTGCGGTGATACCAAAAGTATCTACAATTGAAATTTACCGTGATGGCCACTATAGAAAAAATAGCCAGTAAATGATCGACTCGAAAAATAACCAGTAAGTATCTGATTCAAAAATAATGGACCAATTAATGTTGTTAATGCTTGTTGTCAGTGCAGGCGTACCCAGACGGGTCGCAGGACACACGGGATCAGTTATGGCTCCATTGGTTTCTTAACAGATAACTCCTAACTATGCTAGACTTGAGCTCAGGAAAAAGCAAGGATGAGGACCGTAACAATATTTTGCGAACTCCGTGATAAAAATTTAGGAGGGAGAACAAAGCCACAGGTTGCGGCCATGGGACGGACCGAAACAGAAGATGCCCTCATATACTCGGTGAACAGACTTGTTCTGCAAACACCGGTGGGCATTGAAAACAAGTTCTTAGTCAGTAATGGCCGGAGAGCCAGCGGTTCCTGTAGACGAGCCAAAACGGAAAAACATCACAATATATCAAAAACTTCAAACCCAGGATCAAAAATTCGCAAACCCGGAAGACAAAACAAATATCACAGATGTCGAATGCAAGGGCAAAGAGGTCACCGGTTGAAAAATTGGCGAATTTGAAGTTGGACCAACAATAAAAGAAATTGTCTTTGGAGTAAACAGACAGCAAACACACCAACAAGTTCGGGTTTTGCTCAACAAACAAAACTAAATGCTTCAATATGGAGTTCCAAATGAACCGAAAGTCATTTACAGGTCTGTTAGACAGCGGAAAAAGCACTTTGTCGATAAATTTCGAAAGGTACAAACGACATTGAAAGCCGGGAAGAATAAAGCTTTTTAAAGTTTATTATTGGCAGGTAACAATTCAGCGTTAAAAGTTATGGGCCCTTAAAAGGACAAAGATACGTATTGATCAGAAGATTATACAAGCGAATGTTCGCCATAAAAGCGTCGAGTCGCTAGAGGATGCATGAGAACAAAGAGGGATTGGAGGGCAACTGCAGAAACAAAACACAGTGATAACTGTGGGATTTTTAGACGATAATAGCCAAGCACAGGACATACATCGGATATTTTTAGGAAACCTTCAACCTGAAGTCAAAGAGTTTGTGTTTTTTTTTTCTGCCAGATTTGTTTGAGACTGAACTTGTGGTTCGGATAGAACGTAGTCAAGATAGAAGGCGTGTAACCTAAATGTAGAACTGTGGCAAAAACAAATAAGGTCAGCAGATCTCCAATGTCATTTCCAGTGGAATCAGATGAAGAAAAACTATATGACCCGAGTTGACCAAAATGTGCAACCATACATCGCACCATGCTTGGTTCCATGGAAGCCATGAAAAATTGCCGACGTATTTTTATGTTAAAATAACACATTTTCCATGCATGGCGCAACGTATGGTTGCAGATTTTTTTTTATAATGGGGGACCAGGGCTGTTGATAATTTATATGTCACCATGGATGCTTGAAATAAATGGTTACTATGGTATCATGCATGGCGCGACGTATGGTTACTATGGTGTCATGCATGGCGAGACGTATGGATACCATGGAAACAAATATGGCGCGACGTATGATTAACAAAGAACCATATTTGGCGCGACATAGAAACTGAATAATCAAATAAACTCAATATTCTCGTGGGCATCCAAAAATTGCTCTGAACGACCCGAAAGACGTTGGTAGTAAAAAGTCATTTTTGTCAATTAACCTCTATTTTTATGGTTTTCTGGAGAAAAGAACTATGGTGAAAAATCTCTTCCATACGTAGCACCATATATGTTGCGACGTATGATTTGAAGGGTGAAAATTTTCGATATTTTACCAACAGCTTGCATAATGATGAAAAACCGTTTTATTACTATTTTACTCTGTTAAAAAGCTTTTTTGAGGGTTTTCGAAACCAACGTATGTGCTACGTATGATTAGTCATTTTCCATACAAATCATGCATGGATGTGCATGGTTGCGCATTATCTTCTATGGGGGGCAACCCGGGGAAGCTGAAAGATTTATGGCCAATAGCGATAGGAGGTTATATGCGTACAGGTTGCGAACGAAAGTGTGGAGTCCTTTCTCAATGTCTTCCCGTCCTTACGCTTCACTATTATTGCCGGATTTAGCGTGGAACAACACTGTTGTTATGCACTTCAAGAGGTTTGTTCATCTTCTGTAATTCCATTGACGGAGGCAGTGAGAAGCACTGCAAGGTACC